CAGGAGCCAACCAAAATCTGAAGACATTTTTGGGTACAGACTTTTGTGAGAGATGCTTGAGACTGAGTTGCTGTCACCCCTCTTATGCTAAAGAGTCAGCTGTGGGACACTTTGTCTGATGTCCTGAAGAGCTCATTCTATTTAATTCTTAGCAAAAACACTCCGCTTGGATTGCTCTAAGAGGAAGACTTTGTGTCTTCAAGTCGCTACAACAAAGCTCAGTCCAATATCTACAAGTTTGCTCACAGTTCTAAAGAAGGAAGAGGGGTGTCCTCAATCTTGCTACTAAAAGGTTACTGGAGTATCCTGCAGTTACCCTACTCCTATCCAAACACAAGTTCTTTATTAAAGCATCAGAAAAGCATACCCCTATGCTGTTCATTGAGCCAAAGGAGTGACCGTGACTGTGTGCCTGGCAATTCCAGGAAAATACCAAAGGGACCTTTAAATACTGCTGGCTCCTATAGGGATACCGCTACACAAAGATTAATCGGAAGATACAGTTAGTGACACAAGGTAGGAGTTATATATAGCAACCCGTTCTCTGTGATCCCAGCATCGGACAACAGGAAGTCTTCCAACAACAACTTAGAAAAACACCGAGTGGTCCATTGAGTCTGCCTGTTTTTTTGTGTGTGTGTGTGTGGGGGGGGGGGGGGGGGGGGGTGAGGTATTTTTTTTGGTTTTCTGTTTGCAGCTATTTACTGTTGACTGGCTTACTGCTGGCAGTTTATTCCAAGCATCAACTACTCTTTCAGTAAAATAGTACTTTCTGAGATTAGTCTTGAAATTTCCTCCAGTTTAAGGTCATGTCCCCGTGTTCTTGATTTTGGTTTCATGTTGAAAATACTGCCCTTCTAAACTTTATTCACCCCCTTGATGGATTTAAAGGTTTTATTCATGTCTCCCCTTTCCCTTCTTTCCTCCAGACTGTACATGTTAAGTTCCTGAAGTCGCTCTTCATTTGAAACTCTGAGATGTCATTTGACTGAATACCAAAAGCCACAAGGGAACCTAATGTTGGAAGATGTGCAACGTATGTTACAATAAACCATGTAATTTAGGAACACTACTTTTTACCATGCCCACCAATTAACAGGGGAGTGTGGCACACTTTGCAAAGTACACTTTCTTTAACCCAGAAAAATCTGTTACCATGAACAAGCTAGTTGGTTGAGTTTGTCTCCTATGCAAAGGTTACTAGTTCTGTCATGGCTAATGTTAAAATGGAACAAAGGGCGAAGTTAAAAATTACATATATATTGTGCTGGCATTAACACGGCAGCCTTTTCCCAATCCCCTTGCACCCTATAACATTTTTTATTACCTGCTGAGCCTGCCAATAGGTCTGTTATTGGTCATGTTTGGGTCATTCATTGCGAATGGCATCTCTACACATTCTATAGTACTGCACAACTCCAAATGCACCACAAAGCACAACACATATACTGTATGTTGTGTTAAAAAGGGGACATTCAGGTTTTTTATCCACCTTAATGCAAGGTATGTTAATATATGAAATGATGCACAACAACGTGTGAAATAATGCACCTTAACGGAATGCTGTGAATGGGCCCACAATAAGTGAAAAACAAAATAAAGCCCACTGCCAGCCAACACTCTTGAAGAGTAACTGCAGCATTTTTTTCTTTTGAAAAAAAGGTTTAAACCATATGAACAAAAGTTTACAGTTGTAAGCACCCTCCCTCAACATGTTGTTGGAAGGTTGCAGCCCCTGTAACTAACTTTTGCCAGACAGTTTGGTTTGCATGTAAATGTGAAGTATAAAACACAGCATGTTAAATAGAACCCACAAATATACTGAATAATATACACTATATTGCCAAAAGTATTGGAAAGACGGCCTTTACATGCACATGAACTTTAATGACATTCCAGTCTTAGCCCGTAAGGACTCTACAGGCACCCTTACTTCTACAATCTACCAATGGTGCATAAAGACCTTATTCATCCTCCTGGCAGACCTATCTTTGCAGCCATGGAGAGCCTCTCCAGTAGCCTATCCCAGTATGTGGATTTTTTCCTACAGCCCATAGTCCAGTCTCTCCCTGCCTATGTTTGTGATTCCCTGCACTTGTTGGAAACTCTGTCCAATTACTCATGGGAGGAATCGCACCATTGGCTCTCACTCAATGTCAACTCTCTGTACACCTCCATACCCCCATGTGGTTGGACTTACTGTGATGGGTAATTTTTTTGGCAGGGGAGCCCAATCTCCACCACAGACAAGTGCAGTTCATCTTGGACAGCACTCGTTTTTGCCTGGAACACAACTACCAAGTTCCAGAGAGACTACTTTCTCCAGGTGCATGGCATTGCCATGGGTGCTTCTATCTAGACATGTTATAGCACCCACACCATGAGTTAGTGGGCAGAATTGTGCATCTCAAGGAACAACCCCTTTGCTGCCCACATTATGTTTTTTGGGAGGGTATATAGTCCATAGTATTGCCATTATGGCTCCCCCTCTTCCATTACCTCGTTCGTCCACTATTGCAACAACAACCAGCTGGGTCATTCCTTCACTCATGTGTGGAGCTCTGTGCCACTGGTATCTCTAGATCTAGAATTGTCCCATAACGAAGGCCATATCATATCCAAGACCCATTTTAAACCTTCTGCAGGTAATTCCTGCCTGCATTTTGAAAGCTGTCACCACCCCAAATGGATGCAGGACATCCCCAAGGGGAAGTTCTGCAGGTTGAGAAAGAACTGCACCCTGGATGATGACTACACCCAACAAGGACAGATCCTGAGGAACAGATTCCTGGACAAGGGATATGATCCATAACTGGTCACCAAAGCAGTCCAGTCCAAGAATCTCAGTCCTTTGCCTCCAGATATGGTCACACAACAACTGTGACTAACACAGAGATCAAGTTGATCACCCAATACCACTCCAGACATAAACAGATTAAGACAGATAAAATTATTAAGACAATGGGGTATATTTTTACAAATTGGGTTTTAGCAGCTAGAGCCAGGATTATATATAGAAGAGCAAGAAATGTAAAAAATATAGTAGCTCCCAGCAAGATTAATTATTTCACTCTAAACTCTTCTCACCCCCCTTGCAACATTTTGTAAATTAACTGGCAAGTTTCAATATAAGAACATTAAGTGTAAAATGTGGCAATGTTTGCAACATTGCCAAAAGAAATTCCATGACTCCTTTGGTAAGACCTATTCTATAGATAGGTTCTACACTTGTTCTACTGAACACGTGGTCTATTGCCTGTCCTGCTCCTGTGGCCTCCTCTACGTGGGCCGCACGGTGTATACTGTGAGGGCCCGTTTTGGGGAGCACAAGAGGTTCACTGAGGATGGCAGGGATGACCACAGTGTTCCCAGACACTTCCTTACTCATCAGCTTCAGTAGCTCAAAGCTACAGAAGGTTTAAGAGTCTGGGTATTGGTGTCTATTTCACCTTGTGACTCCCCGGTGAAGAGGTTCCAGAAGCTGTGCAATGGAAGACTGTTTGGGTATTTACCCTGGACACCTTGGCACCCAGAGGTTTCAATGAAGAATTGGGAATTAATACTATAATATACTTAGGTTATTTTTAGCTTTTGCTATTTTTATATACAATTTTTCCCTTTTTTTATGATGTGTGTATTTTTTTTTTTATGATGTGCTTATTTTAACACATTAGTTTATATTGATAAAAAAAGTATATGTTTTTTGGTATTTCTTGCTTTTCTATGTGTATGTATATATATTCATCTAAGGGTTCATACATCAATTACCTTAATTTTGTTATTGTTTTTAATATCCAATATCTTGCATGTGCGGTAGATCTGTTTACAAAATGGTAATGGTTTACATATTGTTCTTTTAGTTTATTAATATTGTATTATCACTTCTTTAATACAATTTACCTCCTGTGTAAGGATGGATTTGATCGAGCTATCTGCCCTCTTCCCCCACAGCCTGTTGCGTTCTCCTGTCTGCCTTCCTGTTAGTGCTGGGAGTGGGAGGAGAGATGTCGATTTACTTACCATCTTGCAACAGGTCCCTGCTTGGGCCCTGCAGCCCAATCAGTCCATCCAGATTGCAGTGAGCTGTATGTAGCACCACCACTCTAGCACCTGGAGTAGTCTACAGGTTTTTCAGAAATAAGTGAAAAATGGAATTAAAGTGTTGTCATTAACCATACACTAATCTGGCGCCCTGCTCAGTTTCCTTTGTTAGTCTGTAGGGTTCAATATTGCGTTGGCCCACTCTCTGCAACTATAACAACACAGCTTCAACGCTTCTGGGAAGGCTGTCCACAAGGTTTAGGAGTGTGTCTATGGGAATGTTTGACCATTTTTCCAGAAGTGCATTTGTGAGGTCAGGCACTGATGTTGGACAAGAAGGCCTGGCTTGCAGTCTCCCCTCTAATTCATCCCAAAGGTGTTTCGGTCGGGTACAGGTCAGGACTCTATGCAGGCCAGTCAAGTTCCTCCACCCCAAGCTTGCTCATCCATTTCTTTATGGACCTTGCTTGCTTGGTCTTTGTGCACTGGTGCGCAGTCATGTTGGAAAAAGAAGGGGCCATCCCCAAACTGTTCCCACAAACAGTTGGGAGCATGAAATTGTCCAAAATGCCTTGGTATGCTGACACCTTAAGAGTTCCCATCACTGGAATTAAAGTCCAACCTCTAAAAACAACCCCACATCATAATCCCCCCCCCTCCACCAAACATTACACTTGGCACAATGCAGTCAGGCAAGTACACTCCTGGCAACCGCCAAACCCAGACATTGGATTGCCAGACAGAGAAGCGTGATTCCTCACTCCAGAGAACATGTGTCCACTGCTCTAGAGTCCAGTGTGTGTTTTACACCACTGCATCTGACGCTTTGTATTGCACTTGGTGATGTAAGGCTTAGATGCAGCTGCTCAACCATGGAATACCATTCCATGAAGCTGTCTATGCACTGTTGTGCTAATCTGAAGGCCACATGAAGTTTGGAGGTCTTTAGCTATTGACTCTGCAGACAGTTGGCGACTTCTGCGCACTATGCACTTCAGCATGCACTGACTCCAATCCGTCATTTTACGTGGCCTGCCACTTCGTGGCTGAGTTGCTGTTGTTCCCAGTTGCTTCCACTTTGTTATAATACCACTAAGAGCTGACCGTGGCATATTTAGTAGCAAGGAAATTTCACGGATGGACTTACTGCAGAGGTGGGAACCTATCACAGTACCACACTTGAATTCACTGAGTTCCTGAGAGCGACCCATTCTTTCACAAATGTTTGTAGAAGCAGTCTGCATGTCTAGGTGCTTAATTTTACACACCTGTGGCCATGGAGGTGATTGGAAAGCCTGAATCCAATGATTTGGAGGAGTGTCCTAATACTTCTGGCAATATAATGTAATTATAGGTAATAAACCTATACGGTTACCAGAATACACTGCTTTACCTATAGTAGTCTTTATAGTGGATTTCATTATATCACTGGACACATTCTAACAACAGTTTGCAGCACCTCCTGGTGTCAGTTAAAATTGGTCCTGCCCCAGGAGGCTTTCTGTAGATCATGAGATCAAGGGGTTTCGGCTACCTCCTCCTTCCAGCTGAGATCCTTGTTGCAATGGTCATGCACATTGGGCCCATGAAAAACTGTATGTGAAGCTATTGTGTCAGATCTCAATTCATCCTAGCTATTTTGGCAGCAGAGGCATAGCCACAGAGACCCCCCCCCCTGCTCCTTCTGCAGCTTATACAATCAAAAACCTCTTAGTTGTACACAAGACACCTCTTATCAGCCTGTTAATAGGACTAGTAGAATCTAACCCCCAAAAAACTGGCTGAGTTTACTAAAGAGTTAACAGTTACTTGGTCATAAATACCTTAGCTGAATTAGCAATACACATTGCTGTCTCTCTCCCTTCGTAGAACATATTTACCTCACTCAGTTAAATGGTAATGTCCAAACACCCCTGTATTAGATGATATGGGGAACCAATGGAACACTTTATACATCCTAGGTCAGTGGTGGGCAACCTTTTTTTTCAACTGAGCCAAATCTCGCCAAAACCACGATTGAAATTTATTTTGAGAGCCACATTTTTAAAACTGAAAATACATCTCCCATATAGTAATTCATCCCCCATAGTAATTCATCCCCCATATAGTAATTCATCCCCCATATAGTAATTCATCCCCCATAGAGTAATTCATCCCCCATAGAGTAATTCATCCCCCATATAGTAATTCATCCCCCATAGTAATTCATCCCCCATATGTGTGGGCGCCCACTCCCCTCCCTCCCCTCCCTCCTCTCGCTCCCCTCCCTCCCGAGAGGAGGGAGGGGAGCGGGCGGCCGTCCGAGAGGAGGGAGGGGAGGGGAGGTGAGGTGAGGTGAGGGGGCGGCCGCCCGGCACACGCCCGTCCGAGAGGAGGGAGGGGAGGGAGGGAGAGGAGGGAGGGGAGGGAGGGGAGCGGGCGCCCGGCACACAGAAGAGCCGCATTTAAGCTTGTAAAGAGCCGCATGTGGCTCGCGAGCCGCGGCTTGCCGACCACTGTCCTAGGTAAAGTAGATATCCGAAACATGCCATACGCCAACAGCAAAATAAAATGGGGTAAAAAAATTAAAACACTTGCAAGACTTGGTTCAGCAGAGGCCAATCAGCCAATACCAAAGGAAATTCAATGCCGAACAATCATCTACCAGTTTCCAGAATGCAACCTGTATATATATATATATATATATATATATATATATATATATATATATATCGCTATAAATATGTGTGTAAGGAATGTCCCTGATACAGTCAAACACTGACATCCCATGGCTACTCCTCAGCCATGTAATTGGTCAGCTGGTCTCTGTCAACACCCCCTTGATGTTAAAGAAATGTTGACTGCAACCGCATGACAGGCTCTCATTTAACATCATCCCAAGGAACATCTGTCAAGTCCTATGAGTGCCAATGTACCATCTTGCTTGGTTGATTGTCTCCGCTGAACCAGGACTTGCAAGTATTTTCATTTTTTACCGCATTTTATTTTGCTGTTGCATTATTGTCTCTATTTTTTATATAAATATTTTTATTTGCACCATTTTTAGCTTTTCATTATTAAACTATATTTTGAAAAGTGCTAAAAAAACTGTCTCTAATGTCCTAATGCAAACTTAAAGAATCCCTGTCTCTAGAAGAGCGCTACTACAGGGTAAATCTCATATCTGTCTGTGGCAACAATGTTTTACAGATGTTTATTTTAAAATAATAGTTGCATTTGCCAACATTGGGAACTCCTACCTATTGGTAAATAAAAGTAGGTGGTGGCAGTTTAAAGGGACAATTGCTTAGTTAACAACCCAGTGGAAATAACTCTCAGTCTGCTGGCACTTAGATTGAGGTCCTGCGGACTGGAAAATAGTAGGGTGAGGCTGAGTGTCATTATTGCGTATCAGTGACAGAACTGTGTGAGGTTGACCAGTCATTTGTCACTAGTTGGTGAAAAGGGCAGTGGTCTGACTTGCGTTTGTCACACTTGTCACCAACATACAATCTCCAGGGCCTGCCAGGTTGTAGATGGCATATGATTCAGGAACACAACCAACCTTATAATTTGTGGGCAACTTACTCGTACATGTAGAGAGACAGGAATGCCTATCTGTTTCTGCACAAGTATATATAAACCCTTCACACCATTCATTGTCCCACACTAATCTGTGACAATGACATCAGTAATGCAATGTCAAGTCAGAGAAATTGCTTCTCAGATACACAGTCCTTCTCAGAGGAATATGCCCCACCAGTGGTCAAAGTCTCTACCATAGGCTGCCATTGGCTGTGCTCTCAGATATCCTACAATCTACTGAATTGGTTGGGCCCCAAAGCAAGGAGCATGTGGCTTGCTTGCCATTAGAGCTGCCCATGGTACTCACTATTCCCATTCACCAACCTTCCTAACAGCTCAACCCCTAGTTTACATACCCTAGCAAAAGAAATTGAAGAACAGCCCAGACTGTCTGGAGACAGTGTGGCGTCTCACACTAAAAGGAAACTAACTCTCTTTAAGTTAACAACCCTGAGCAGTAAATCCTAGGTGGAAAAGTTTAATTGGCTAGTTTTTCACAGATTATAACCATCTATCCAATACCATCTATTATAAAGCGCAAAAGGCATCCACAGAATCATATGCTTTAAATATGTCCGTTATAATTTTCATTAAATTAACATGTTTTAATATTCATTATTTATTGATTTTTAAAACTGCTTTGTCAAGGTAGTGCAAGTTCTGGCCAAAGGTTAAAGTAGTTAAGCCCATATATATTCCACATATATTTTCTGAAAGTACAGGACCAAGATAATAAATGGATGGTGCTACTGAAATGGTAGGTTTTATGAAAGTTGAGTAAATCTTTTTCAAAATTATATTTTCTATAAAAATACACTAATATTATTGGTGCATAAAAAAACATAACTTTTATTCCTAATAAATCTATAGCATAAAGCTTTAGTGAGTTAATAACAAATATTTGTAAATTGTAATGAATGGCTGCATTTGGCAACTTGTCTGCTGCTGATCACAGCTATTTATTTAATCAGCAGAGTCTATGGGACCCCTCTGTTACAATTTAAGCAACCATGAGCTTATAGCATAACAGAATGAAGCCAACATAATGCTTACTGAGCTAGCCAGCTAGAAGTAGTTCTGTTCCAGCCAGTTGTGAGCCATGGCTGTGTGTGTCTTATGGAGGCATAGAGCAGTGCTCGGGAGCGAGCACGCACCAGTGCCCCTATAGCAAGCAGCTTGCTATGGGGGGCACTGGTCAAGTGGGAGGATCCAGGAGCGCAGGCAGGGGACCCAAGAAGAGGAGAATGGGGGCTGCTCTGTGCAAAACCATTGCACAGCGCAGGTAAGTATGACATGTTATGAAGAAAAAAAAAAAATTTTTTAAATCACTTAGGTCTTGCCGGAAGTGCAGTGTCTTTGTAACTTCCTGTGAGCTGCACTGAGGGCAAAAAATCTTTGGGAAACTACTATTCCCCCCATCCCCAATTTGACAGAGACAAAAGAGAGCAGACATATTTGTAGTCCAGCCTAACTCCCAGACATGATCAGGTTGGTTCAGACAAAACAAAAACCTTTCCAAAATACAAAATTCAAGTTGGGGATAATCACATGGGAGCAAAACTACTTCATCAAAGTTTAGATATGTCACAAATTAAAAGCAGCAGGGTGTGCATCTAGTACAAATTCAGGTGATGAACCAATTGAAACGGTAACCACAGCTAGCAAGAAATCTGCCTGAAAATGCAAAAAAAGAAAAAAAAAGAAAAAAAAAACAAAATGCCAAGCTCATCTTACTGGACACAAGATAAAGACTTTAGAGGCAGATATTGCTGAAAGTATATGGATAGGCATGTGAACCTATACCTACAGAAATAACTAACAATATTACAAGTGAAATGGCTAACCCCGTACTAGATTTTCAAAAAAGCCTATGAAAAAGGTACCAGGGGCATCTCATGGGGACCCCTACTGACCCCGGGCCCTCGGGCAGTGCCCGAGTTTCCAAATGGTCAGTCCGCCCCTGAGCACAGGTTTGGTCCAAATCTGGAAGGAAATGATCACTCCTGCCCAATCAACTGCAGTCAAAGCATTCCCCACCCCTCTGCTGCACACACACACACGGGTAGGGATGCATGTGACATCATTGATATGTACTTTTTGTGATAAGATTGCTTTAAATAAATGCTTGCACTACTGGTTATGGATTCATTTTGTGTCGGTGACATACAATAAACTCTTAATAGTAGTCGAAAAAAAAAAAGATGGCCCCTTCTGCTCAATTAACATGAAAGATTGATGGATTGAGAGACATAAAGGAAAAATAATATACCACATTCAAGTGGGTATACAAACACTATATTGTAAAAAGTATTGGGAAGCCTCTTTGAAGCAGGGTTCTCGGCTTTCTTTGGATTCTCTTCAGGTGCATATTACTATGATCCCTAAGAAAGCTGAAGAAACCTTTGACCTGCAAGCTTTCAGACCCATCTCGCTGTAAAACGTGGACTTGAAGATTCTGGGAAAGATTCTGAGCACCCGAGTTAATAAGTATCTACTCTCACTTATTCATCGAGATCAGGTTGGCTTCCTTCTGGGGAGACAAGCTGCTGATAACATCCGTAAAGTCATCCATCTCATTCATATTTTACATCGCAGCAAGATACCAGGGTTTCTTTTATCCCTAGACATTTATAAAGCGTTCGATTCAATTTCTTGGGAATATTTGACATATACGCTGTCTAGATGGGGGTTTGGTGACGCATTTCTGGCTTGGATCTCAGCTTTATATTCGTCTCCCTCCCTGTTAAATATGCAGGGTTTTTTTCCTCATCCTTCCCTATTTTCAGGGGCACGAGACAGGGATGCCCATTATCACCTGCTCTTTTTGTTCTCACTCTTGAACGTTTAGCTGCAGCCATTCAAAATCACCTGGATATTTCTGGTGTCCCATATGCCAGCACTCAATACAAGGCCAACTTTTATGTGGATGATGCCCTTTTAGTTTTAACCAATCCTCTCATCACTCTCCCCAATCTCTAGGTCATATTGGACCGTTTTTCGACTATATCTGGCCTTCGCATCAATTTGTCTAAAAACCCGGCATTGAATATTACACTCCCTGCTGACCTGGTTGAACTGTTGCAGACACAATTTCCCTACCATTGGGCATCCCATTCTCTGGCTTATCTTGGCGTTACACTTACTTCCTCCTACTCTGCCTTATTTTCGGCTAATTATTACCCCTTACTGCGCTCTGTTACTTCCCTGCTTCATTCTTGGCAGTTTCCTTCTTTATCATGGATTGGCCGGATACATGCTGTTAAGATGAATATCCTGCCGAAGATCCTGTACTTTTTCCGTACTCTCCCTGTTCATGTCCCTGCGTCTTTTCTTCGTGTACTACAGAGCCGGATTCTCAGTTTTATTTGGGCTCATAAATATCCCAGAGTGCCTAGAGATACTCTCTATAATCCTTGATTCCACATGTTTCTAGATACTATTTGGTGGCTCAGATTTCTCAGTTGTCTATGCTTCATGCCACAACTGATATCCCATTATGGGTACTCTTGGAATTACCCAACTGTTCTCCGCTTTCCTTAACTACATTGCTTTGGCTCCTGCCTAAGTTGCGCCCTCCGGCTTTGAGCCCGCTCATGCTTCACAATTTAAGAACCTGGGATTCTGTAAAATATTCAGGCAATTTTTTTTTCCGTCATTTTTACCTCTTGTCGATCACGCATAATCCTTTATTTCTGCCAGGCCTAGAACATCCCCCTTCTTTCTCTTGGTGGACCTCCCATGGCTTAGTTATTGTACATGATTTTCTGAGCGCTCGTACGCTTCCATCTTGGGAGTCTCTTCGAGAATCAAGGGGGGTCCTGCCAAGGGAATATTATCGGTATTTGCAATTGCGCCACTGGGTCCTATTCCTCCGTTGTACCTATTCATATCCTTACCGCAAACGCCCTTTGAACACACTTGTCAGCATTCCCCAGGTCTCATTTCTGTAATTTATCCCTCCCTTAACAGTAGGTCTTCCTCATCACCCGTCTTATGTCTCTCAATGGGAGTGAGATCTGGGTGTTTCGATTGTGGCAGAGGATTAGCGTAGGGCCTGGGGGACGGTGGTGAAATGTTTATTCAATACAGTCACCCTTGAGGCAGCCTACAAAGTTCTACTGCGGTGGTTCTGGGTCCTGGCTCGGACTGCTCACTTTAATCCGACTGGAGGAGATAGGTGTTTCCGGAACTGTGGTCTACGCGGGGATGTCTTGCACATTTGGTGGTCGTGCCCACGATTGATAGGCTTCTGGTCTAGGGTTTTTGGTTTGCTACAAACGCTATTTCATATTACGGTCTGTAGGGATGCAAAGGTGGCCCTCCTGCATTGCCCAATTTTGGGTCTGTCTAGGTCTCAACAGAAATTGGCATCCTACCTATTCATTTTGGCCAAACGTGCTATAGCTCAAGCTTGGAGAACCCCTTCGGTAATCTTCCAGGGAGTGAAGACCCGGATGAATGCTATGTTGATCAATAAACAGATGTCTAGCATTCTTCATGATTCTCATCCGAAATTCCTTTAGGTTTGGGAACCTTGGATACATTATTCCTTACCATCCCTGCCTCCTAATAGTTATGGCCTCCTATAGTTGCTGCTGGTGCTAGCCCCGGATCCGTGATCCCTCTAGTTTTCCTTCTTTCATGTTTTTTTTTTCTTTTCTTCTAACCTTTCTTCTTTTCTTTTTTCCAATATTATGTTGGATTACTGCTGCTATTTGGCACGGCTTTTTGCCGTCCCTTCTTGATGTCATTGGACATTTCATTATTTGACTAATACAAATCAGCATTATATCTCTGTTTATATGTTGTTTGCTCTGCCCCTGCAAGGGCATATTTTGAGCTTGTTATATTCTTAAAAACAAAACTTTCCTAATAAAAAATATTGAAACAGAAAAGTATTGGGAAGCCTGCCTTTACACGCTCATGAACTTTAATGGCATCCCAGTCTTAATCAGTAGGGTTCAAAATTGAGTTGGCCCACCCTTTGCAGCTATGACAGTTTCAACTCTTCTGGGAAGGCTGTCCACAAGGTTTAGGAGTGTGTCTGTGGGAATGTTTGACCATTCTTCCAGAAGCGCATTTGTGAGGTCAGGCACTGATGTTGGACGAGAAGGCCTGGCTTGCAGTCTTCACTCTAATTCATCCCAGAGGTGTTCTATCAGGTTGAGGTCAGGACTCTATGCAGGCCAATCAAGTTCCTCCACCCCAAACTCGCTCATCCATGTCTTTATGGACCTTGCTTTGTGCACTGGTGCGCAATCAAGTTGGAACAGGAAGGGGACATCTCTAAACTGTTCCCACAAAGTTGGGAGCATGAAATTGTCCAAAATATCTTGGTATGCTAACACCCTAAGAGTTCCCTTTACTGGAACTAAGGGGCCAAGTCCAACTCCTGAAAAACAACCCAGACCATAATCCCCCCTCCACCAAACTTTACACTTGGCCAATTCAGTCAGGCAAGTGCTGTTCTCCTAGCAACTGTCAAACCCAGACACATTCAATGGATTGCCAGAAAGAGAAGCATAATTAGTTACTCCAGGGAACACGTCTCCACTGCCCTAGAGCCCAGTAGCGGCGTGCTTTACACCAATGCATCCGACACTTTGCATTGCACTTGGTGATGTAAGGCTTGGATGCAGCTGCTCGGACTTGGAAAACCATTCCATGAAGCTCTCTACACACTGTTGTTGTGCTAATCTGAAGGCCACATGAAGTTTGGAGGTCTTTAGCTATTGCCTCTGCAGACAGTTGGTGACTTCTTCGCACTATGCATGTCAGCATGCGCTGACCCCGCTCTGTCACTTTATGTAGTCTACCACTTCATGGCTGACTTTATCTTGTTCCTAGTTGCTTCCACTTTGTTATAATACCTCTAACAGTTCACTGTGGAAAATTTAGTAGCAAGGAAATTTCACGGATGGACTTATTGCATAGGTGGCAATCTATCACAGTACCACGCTTGAATTCACTGAGTTCCTGAGAGCGACCCATTATTTCACAAATGTTTGTAGAAGCAGTCTGCATGTCTAGGTACTTGATTTCATACACCTGTGGCCATGGAGGTGATTGGAACTCCTGAATCTAATGATTTGGAGGGGTGTCCCAATACTTTTGGCAATATAGTGTATGTACTGCAAACTAGTGTATAAATACAGTTGGTATGGAAAAGAATCACCACCCTTTAAAATAATCTCATTTTGTTGCTTTGCAGTCTGAAATTAAAACAGACAGTTTTGTTCTGTATTAATAGGGTAATTAAATCTTTTTTGTTCCCTTAGACTTTAATGACCAATCTTTCGCTCCTTTTTGCTGTTAGACCAGTCCCTGCAGCCTCTTCTCCCCCATGCTCTAGTGGCCTAGGGTCCTGACATCATCAAGACCATAGCCCTTTTTGGATGTCTTGCAGCTGAGGGACAGGCAACCGCCAGAGTGCCATCTTCCAAGGGAGCAGATGATCAGATACACTATATTGCCAAAAGTATTGGGACACCACTCCAAATCATTGGATTCAGGTGTTCCAATCACCTCCATGGACACAGGTGTATAAAATCAAGCACCTAGGCATGCAGACTGCTTCTACAAACATTTGTGAAGGAATGGATCACTCTCAGGAGCTCAGTAAATTCAAGCGTGGTACAATGATAGCTTGCCACCTGTGCAATAAGTCCATCCATGAAATTTCACTGTTTCACATCAAAGTGGAAGCAACTGCGGACAACAGCAACTCAGCCACAAAGTGGCAGGCCATGTAAAATGACAAAGCGGGGTCAGAGCATGCTGAAGTGCACAATGCACAGAAGTCACCAACTGTCAGCAGAATCAATTGCTAAAGACCTCCAAACTTCATGAGGCCTTCAGATTAGCACAACCGTGCATAGAGAGCTTCGTGGAATGGGTTTCCATGGCTGAGCAGCTGCATCCAAGCCTTACATCACCAAGTGTAATGCAAAGTGTCGGATGCAGTGGTGTAAAGCACGCCATCACTGGACTCTAGAGCAGTAGAGACGTGTTCTCTGGAGTGACCAATCACACTTTTCTGTCTGGCAATCCGATAGACGTGTCTGGGTTTGGAGGTTTCCAGGAGAACAGTACTTGCCTGACTGCATTGTGCCAAGTGTAAAGTTTGGTGGAGGGGGATTATGGTGTGGGGTTGTTTTTCCAAGGTCGGGCTCAACTCCTTAGTTCCAGTGAAGGGAACTCTTAAGGCGTCAGCATTCCGAGATATTTTGGACAATTTCATGCTCCCAACTTTGTGGGAACAGTTTGGAGATGGCCCCTTCTTGTTCCAACATGACTGCGCACCAGTGCACAAAGCAAGGTCCAAAAAAAGACATGGATGAGTGAGTTTGGTGTGAAGGAACTTGACTGGTCTGCACAACAACCCAATAGAATATATTTGGAATGAATTAGAGCAGAAACTATGAGCCAGGCCTTTTAGTCCAACATCAGTGCCTGACCTCACAAATGCGCTTCTGGAAGAATGGTCAAACATTCCCATAGACACACTCCTAAACCTTGTGGACAGCCTTCCTAGAAGAGTTGAAGCTGTTATAGCTGCAAAGGGTGGGGCCAACTCAATATTGAACCCTACAGAGTAAGAATGGGATGCCATTAATGTTCATGTGTGTGTAAAGGCAAACGTTCCAATACTTTTGGCAATATAGTGTAAGTAAAAGTGTTTCTTCTCTTCCCTAGACAAACCAATCAATTTATCTCTCAAACGGTGCACATTTAGGAGATACTCATGTGACCTGCAGGTAAGCTTCATTATAAGTTGACCTGTAGGTAAAAATAAAAATCTGGTGTTTACTAACACTTTAAGTGGAACTGTGGTGTTTCACTTATATCCAGAGCTTTAAGAAAAAAAAGTTTACCTGATCTGCAATGATTCCTGTCTGCTGTCCCACAAACCTAAAACACTTTTCATCTATTTTAACTGCTCATTATCCAGCTACCTAATGCATGTATACAGTCATAGGCGAAGGGTGATATAGCACAGAGCTATCCGCAAAATTTCAGAACTAGGTTTAAGTAGATTTACCTGTTTTATTATAGAACAAGTCTTATTTTTTTTTTGTCTGTGTATCCAGATTCTGTTTAAAAAAAATTGTATTTTCTCTAAAATACTGTTTAAGTTCATCTCTAATTAGAAATGCACAAATTGATTTTTTTTTCTACCATAAAAACTTAATTTTATATACTGCTCAATTTATCTGTCTGAAATTACACATTTTACCGAGGGCAGGCATGTCTCCCTATTTTATTACAGTCATAAAATAATTTTTTATTTAGCCGACAAACTAGTATGCCAGAGAGAAGGTGCCCTTACAGGGTTGATTCTGCTGCACAAAAGGACCATAAAGAAAAAAAGAAAATTAGGATTACTCATATGACTAAGGCTTTGAAACATAGTTTACAAGTAGAGATGAGCGAATCGAACCTGGCGAAGTGGAATTCGTTTCGAAATTCAGGAAAAATTCGATTCGCATCGAATCCGAATTTTAGCAAACTTCGGGTGCACGAATCGAATTTTTCCCGATCAGCCGGCAAAAGTGTCACTGCAGAGAGCTCCGCTATTTCTGACAGTTCTGACAGTTCATTTACAGCGGTTGAAACATTGTATCTATTTGTTTCCATTTAGGATACAGATGTTTTTATTCGGAAATAAATAGATACAATGTTTCAACTGCTGTAAATGTGAAGGAACTGTCAGAGAACTGTCAGAAATAGCGGAGCTCTCTGCAGATACACTTTTTGCTGTACTGGAATACTTCTTCTTTTCATTCTTCTTCTTCTTTTCATTCTTCTTCTTCTTCTTCTTCTTCTTTTCATTCTTCTTTTCATTCTTCTTCTTCTTCTTTTCATTCTTCTTTTCATTCTTCTTCTTCTTCTTTTCATTCTTCTTCTTCTTTTCATTCTTCTTTTCATTCTTCTTCTTCTTCTTTTCATTCTTCTTCTTCTTCTTTTCATTCTTCTTTTCATTCTTCTCATTCTTCTTTTCATTCTTCTTTTCATTCTTCTCATTCTTCTTTTCATTCTTCTTCTTCTTCTTTTCATTCTTCTTCTTCTTCTTTTCATTCTTCTTCTTCTTTTCATTCTTCTTCTTTTCTTCTTCTTTTCATTCTTCTTCTTTTCATTCTTCTTCTTCTTCTTTTCATTCTTCTTTTCATTCTTCTTCTTCTTCTTTTCATTCTTCTTCTTCTTTTCATTCTTCTTCGTCGTGCCCCGTGACTGCCCAAATGAGTGAAGTGTGCGGTGATTCTAAGATCGACGGCACTCATCTGCATGTCATACTGACTGACAGTATTATTTCTCTTCCCCAGCAGACTCCAAGGGCATTTAAATTAAAGGTACAGTGTTCTGCACTAATATAAAGGCTCTCTGAAGCCTAGAAACCCTTTAAATAAGTTAAATTCGCGGCGAATAAATTCGCATCGAATCGAATTTCTCCCGCAAATTCGGCGAATCAGCCGAATCGAATTTTTGAATAATTCGCTCATCTCTATTTACAATGTAAAGTTTTTACATTGTCCTCGTAAGAAGCAGGTGAGGAATGAACGTTATTTTCTGCACAGCGCAGAAATGTCTTAGCCACCCTCAAGCCTAAATACTAAATAAAATTGACTGTGCAAGCAAGAAGGTCCAGTACAGCCCTGGCCAAAAGTTTCAAGAATTACTAGTTTTCACAAAGTCTGCTGCTTCAGTGGTTTTGTTGGTTACTATGGTATGCTGAAGTATAATTACAAGTACCGTATTTTTCACTCCATATGACGCACTTTTTTCCCCCCCAAAAAAGGGGGAAAATGTCTGAGTCTTATGGAGCGAATATGGAGCGGCCAGCCCAGTATTCCCCTCATCGCCACCACAGTGTTAGAATACCGGGCCAGCCGCTCGGCTCTGTACAGCAAAACCTGCAGAACTCAAGCGGTCCTACCTGTTCCTCGGTCCAGCGGTGTCTCTCCCCAGTGCCAGAATCTTTAGTGTGGGCACCCAGCATGCGGCTTCACAGCCGGGTGCCCACTGCACATGCGTGAGAAGCACTGCGCTTTGTGAATGTAGTCTTCTTGGACCTGTCATGTGTCCCAGAAGACTACGAGGAGGGAGGGGGAAGGACAACTCCATGGAAGTGGGAGCGGGTACCTGTCAAAGTCGGGTACCCGCTCCCCCCCCTCCGCTCCCCAAAGGTTTGCAGTTTCCGGTCATCCCCTGTACTATGTCTGCAGTCTCTGGTCACCTCCTGTAGTATGTCCGCAGTCTCTGGTCATCTCCTGTACTATGTCTGCAGTCCATTGGCTCAGAATATATTTTTTCTTGTTTTCCTCCTCTAAAACCTAGGTGCGTCTTATGGTCAGGTGCATCTTATGGAGCAAAAAATATGGTATTTCATAAGTGTCAAAGGTTTTTTTTACAATTACAGTTAATTAAGTTTATGCAAAGAGTCAATGTTTGCAGTGTTGATCCTTCTTTTTCAAGACCTCTGCAATTCACCCTGGCAAGCTGTCAATCAACTTCTCGGCCACATCCTGACTGATGGCAGCCTATTCTTGCATAATCAATGCTTGGAGTTTGTCAGAATTTCTGGGGGGTTTTTTTGGTCACCCGCCTCTTGAGGATTGATCACAAATTCTTAATAAATTAAGGTCTGGGAAGTTTTCTGGCCATGGACCCAACATTTCAATGTTTTGTTCCCCAAGCTACTGAGTTATCACTTTTGCCTTATGGCAAGGTGCTCCATCATGCTTGAAAAGGCATTGTCTGTCAGCAAACTGTTCTTAGATGGTTGGGAGAAGTTGCCCTCGGGGGATGTTTTTGTAGCATTCTTTATTAGTGGCTGTGTTTTTGGCAAAATTGAGGGAGTCCACTCCCTTGGCTGAGCAGCAACCCACACATGAATGGTCTCAGGATGCTTTACTGTTAGCATGACACAGGACTGATGGTAACACTCACCTTTTCTTCTCCAGACAAGGTTTTTTTTCGGATGCCCCAACAATCGGAAAGGGGATTCAGTCCTCAACAGTCCAATCCCTGTACCTTTTGCAGAATATCATTCTGTCCCTGATGTTTTGCTTGGAGGGAAGTGGCTTCTTTGCTGCCCTTCTTGACAGTAAGCCATCCTCCAAAAGTCTTC